TAATCCAGCTATTCCCATGAATGTCAATTCAAGCCGAGAATAATCACACTAAAATGAATATTCCCAATATTTCAAGACACCGAGAAAAGATCCAAACAGTCTTGGAACTTCTCCCGAACTTTTAAAATGCCTTGTGCATGCAGATGTATGAATCTGTGTTAAAAGGGCCAATTATATTTCTCAAGATGAAAATTTCCATTGCAAGAAGTCCTTTGTGCACAAACGACTGGTGATTTTGATCGAGTGGAATAGTACCACTTGGATTTAATGACGGAATAATTGAAGAAAAAAAATCTATTTTCAGGACAACAACATATCCATGTTGGATCAACAAAAAATACCTCTGAGAATGCCGGCGAATATTGATCCCAAGACTATCTTCACGTGAGTACAATTTACCCCACATAATCCATATGTCGTCTCACCGATATTTACATTCCATTGCAGACGGTTACGTATTCGAGGGTCTGCAGGGAAAAAAAAAACGTGTCTCAAATAAAACACATTCCATCTACCTCGTGACCGAGTGCATCGAGACCTCTCACATTATTTTTATTATCCTCTTTACTCTATTTTCTCTCTCGTTTCCTGATAAGACGCGTTCGTGAGTCGTGTTAACGTGAAACTGAGAGATTTCACCGTGCAATGACACGTTATTAAACTCATCGCAAATTTTTTCACTCCCCGAGAATAAAAATTAGCACGATTTTCATAAGTCGCACGTGCAAATCGTTGTCGGACATTGACACTGATCATTTTTTCTCCTTCATTGTCCTTGACCTTGATTGTTCACCATCTGAATATTTCTCCCCACGTGTCAGTGAATACCTTTGAAAAACCCGAAAAACTCGATTTTGTGGAATAATTTCTGGAGAAAAATTTCCGTCAAAATACGACGATCGGTAATTTTTCTATTAATTTTTTACTCTTCGTGTATTTATTCGCAGCAATGCAGGTGTGAGAGTAATTAATATCGGAATCTCCACACTTTTTTATAATTGAATACATAAAAAAATTGAAATCAATATCTCGTCCGTTGCCCCCGTTCGATCAGCAATTTACGCGTCAAATTTATTTTCCATCTTCTATTATTAGTTGAACTGTAATCGCTACCTCTCGCATCGTCTCCCGCAAAAGAATCACGGAGTTATTGTAATATAAAGATGGCTAAGTAGAATTGAGAGGCGGAAAGGGAATGTATTCAAACTGCATATGAGTATTAGCGAGGTGATAAGATATCCCAAAGCCTCCGGCAGAACGTAAAAAGAAGATGAGAGAATCAAGACAGTCTTTCACCTCAAATTTTTTTTTTGCACACGAGGGTACCGATATCGTCTGACGAAATAAATCCTCAGTTCATTCACCTAGTGGTGAGTTGCAGTATCTCGAAATACAAAGTTTACAAAACGAAATGCACTTTTATCAGCAGGAGGACTCGAAGTCGGACAACGACACACGCGTGAGAGAGACACGGGGTTATTCAACTCAAAATAAAATTTTGCCGCTGGCCCCCGGGCTAATCTTATCACCACTTGTGCTAAAAATGAATTCACTCGCGATATTATTATGCACTTGGTTTTGTGGATGGAAAAATTCGGGAGTTTTATCAATTCCGGGAGTCAGTTGACAACATTAATCGAAAGGTGGGAGTTTTACTTCGAGGGCATTCACGTGTATTTACTTTTTCAAAGTTCATTCACATATATATTTCAGATAACAATAAATATTGTGAGTTGTTCCATTGATTTTGTATTAATTTCCAATTCAATTCGATTGTTCAATGAAAAATTCACATGCAATGTCGATCCTTGGAACATATTTACTGATTTATTTCTGAACACAAGCTCAACTTTTTCGGTGATAAAAATTCAATCTCAATAAAATATTCGGGTGAAAAATAAATGTTTGATTAATCAACAGAAGCTCATACCGGCAGAAGCCAAGACTGCCCGGACAAACAGGAGTTGGTGGTGTGCCGGTTGTCGGTGGTGGCAGAAGAACTTACACGGAGGAAGAATTACAAGCTGCCCTCAGGGACATACAGAGTGGTAAACTCGGTACACGAAGAGCAGCTGTCATCTACGGGATACCAAGGAGCACCCTCCGTAACAAGGTCTACAAGCTTGCAATGGAACGCGAGAGGGACGCCTCCCTCACTAGCACCCATTCACATCCTCACGAGTCTGGCGTACCAGTATCAACCACCACCATCACCTCCACAATACCAACATCAACAACAACAGCATCAACACCAAATACGACCCAAAATGCCTCTGCAACAAGTCCGCCCCCGCAAGTGGATGAGGTAGGTTTTGGGGACGAGAGAGACCGTGATTTTGTCATTTTTTTTTTATTATTTTACATTCATCACTCCGTTATCAATACCTTAACTTCATTCAGACAGAGTCATCTTACGTTTCGATCAGTTTCATGATGTGAGAGTAACTTCTCAATGCAATAACTAAATAATTGAACATATATCGCCGAATAAATGAGGGTGAACACGCGATAACTTTATTTATCCCTCAGAATCGGTTTTTTATCATTATTTTTCGTCTAATGTGTGGTTTTGGTTAGGAAGAACGAATGGAGCTTCCCCAAAACATACCTCTTGCATGGCGATCGATAGAGACCGTGTAGACTCACTGTTCTGAGTGATATTGAATCGTCACCTATGCATCACAAATGCAAGACAAATATTCTGACCTAGTATTGGGTCTACACGGTATCCACGTGCGGTTGCCGTGACGCTCAAAAAACTTGAGACTATAAATAACTTAATAGAAAAAAAAAAGAGAACAATAAAAAACAGTAGTTGTCCTATGTTTTTGCATGGGCTGTTTTAACTGTTTATCACTATATTTGTAGTTTGATACTTGGCCACTTGGCGTACGCGAGGTTGCAAGATGTGAGGTAAGTTTTTGGGAAGATACCGTTGTGTGCGTGAATTATCATTTTATTATTTTATATTTATTGTTTATCAATGATGATACCATCGCGATGCTCTTCTTGCACCTTCTTTCGGTTTTCATTCAGCGTATCTAGAGTATGTTCACATTGAATTTATTTATTGTTCAATTCATTTGTCGAGAGTACAGCTGAGGATTATTGAATTTTATTTGAAACTGTTGAGAAGCGACTCTCGCATTGCTTGGATGCTTGCATGCGTTAATGTTTATATGATAACTTTCACGGAGGTAAGTCATTGGAATTGTACACAAAGAATGATGAGCGTTCTATGCTAATGGACTCGATCATCGTCATTTAATGTCAAGGACACGAGTCCCTTGGTGGAGAACACGTACATGCACTCGACAGTCTGCGCTGTTGCACACTTTTCTTTCTTTTTTTTATATCAACAATACATTCCCGTACGTATGCATCACGTTTATCAAATTGTTTTCTTTTAATTGCTTGTTCGTTACGGGCATTAATTTATTACGGAGAGTATGTACTTTGAATAGAATCCCAGCATGACGCTTAATGTCAATCCGTACAGCATGAAGATATTTCATACGAGTCAAACAATCTATTACACGGAATTACACCCAGACACGATAAATATTCTTATTACAAGTCTACATCTACATGTTCCCTACTAACGAAGTTTATTGGTGGAGAGAAATGGGACATGGAGATGCTAGAATGATTGTTTATCAACAGGCGGATGATAAGGAGCTGTCAGGTGCTGAAGAGGAGAAGGAAGTGGAGAAGGCCCTGCTGAAGCCACTGCTGTCCCTCGAAGACTTGGTGAGATTTTCCGCCCTTGAGGGTAGCGGTCGGGACTCCCTCAGGACACTCCTCCAACGGGGACACGAAACCGGCACCGAGTGGCCTGGTTTTGAGCATGCTAATATTGGACCCTATATCCATAAAATGCTAGCCGCTGCTGGGCCATTCAAAGGTACACAATTGTGCTCAATGAATATGAATTATCCCAACAACCGAATCCCTGACAATATGTCCCACTCGATAAATTGATCCGTGAGTAATGAATTTGAAAGAATTAAAGAGCAGTCCAAGTGCTGGGCTTGTCTAGAAAAAATAAACGGGAAATAATGAAAAGGGCGATGTGGGTCGTATCGTATCAGCCGAGGTGGGTTTACCCGGGGTAAAAAAACTTGTCGGTCTTCTGTAATCGATAGAAGCCAGGGTGGGTCATAGCCTCTTATTCCACCCGGATGAACGGACATTTTGTGACTGTCCATTACTTTAATGCATCCTCTATTTGTCACCCAGGTCTTGAGAACCAAGAGTACAGGATACCAGAAGTGATGAGGCGATTGATGAGCGAGGACAAAAGACTAAACAAAGATGTGAATGGCGATCAGTCGCACTCACACGTACAATCACCCCAGTCACAATCGTTACAAGGTGGACAACAGCAAAGGTTACCAATGACAAATGATGATTTCAATCCAGCAATAGAGGAGGAGGCGAGCGACAGCGCTCAGGGCAGAGCTATACTCAAGATTCCGTCCTATAAACCAGCGAGTACACCTGGCTCAAGTAAGAACAATGGTGAGCCAAATTCAGCAGCATTTGCCCAGGGTTTTGCTGCATCATCAAGTGCAGCTGGTAGCCCTGGCCTGTTGGAACGAGCTAGCCCAGCATTCTCGGGCACTAGTAGTCCAACGAATTCACTCGTTGGTAAAGGTGTCAGTGTTAATTTTCGTGATGTCATTGCTAAGAGTATTAGCTCAAAATTTCAAGAGGGACAATCTGGACAGACTAATGTCACCCAAACACCTACACCATTGCTCAGTGATTCAAATCCATTCAAACGCGGTAGGTATACACCACCGCAGACTGCCCATCAGCAACAAACGCAGCAGCAAAAATCACAGAGCCAGGAGAACAAATCAAAACCGAGCGCTGGTGGCAAAGGTACGAGACCAAAACGTGGAAAATACAGGAATTATGATCGGGATAGTTTGGTAGAGGCGGTTAGGGCTGTGCAGAGAGGAGAAATGAGTGTTCATAGGGCTGGTAGTTACTATGGTGTGCCACATTCCACCCTCGAGTACAAGGTCAAAGAGAGGCATCTCATGAGACCACGAAAGAGGTAAAATATTTATCATAGATTCCCCTCGTCTTTCGATTGGATTTCTAGTAATAAAAATGAATTATTGTCAACAGGGACCAGAAACAGTCGGAGGACAAATCAAAAGACTCACCGACAGCGCCATCATCACTGAGACCAGCTCACCAAGACAAAAAGCCACCGTTGAAACCTCAAAAATCGTTTACACAAGGTCCAGGTGGTTTACCAGGTGGTCCAAATGGTTTGAAAATGCCGTTTTTAGACGGGATGCCGCATCTACCATTTCCACATCCATTCAATTTTGGTTGGGGTCCAACGCCATTCATGCCTTCACCATTTATACCAGGTGCACCAAATGTACCAACGATACTGCCTGATCAGTATTTTGCTACCCAGAGAATGCGTGGACTTCAGGAACAGCAGAGAAGTGCTGTTGTACAGCAGCAGAGTAGTAGAGAAGGCAGTGGTACAGAACCAGGTACGTCAAATTCACGTTCAATGGTTAAAACAACGAGGGAAATGGCTGAGAGTCTTTATGAGGGTACAGGTGCAAATGGTAGCTTTCTTGATAATTTAATAAGATCAAGTTTGGAGACTGGTATACCGAGGGATCAACGGGGTATTACTGAAGGACGGGGTCAGGGGCATCATCCTGAAGCAATGAGTAGTAAAGCATTGATTGATCAACTGTGCAGGAACTCAAGACGTACACCATTACCCAGAATGACAGATAGCAGTGAAGATGAGAGCTATCGTCCATCAAGATCATTACCAGAGAGACCAGAGAGAGTACCAACTGTTGATTTGAGTCCATCCCCAACGGATCGAATAAGAAATGATGATCAGGGCAGTGATCGTTTAACATCACCACCAACGCCCTTGTCAATCAGTAGAGCTGGTAGTCGTGATGATGACACAAGGGATTCACGTAATGATCGCGGTAGTAGAGAGCGTGAGGTACATAATGGTGGTGATGAGCCACGTAAAACAATACTACAACAGCAACAGCTGAATCACTACCCGGATATACACAATCTTTATGCCGTATCAAATGAGAAAAAAAGTGCCTGTGATAGTAAGCTTATAGTAGATCATTCGAGCCAGAAGACTCAACAGCAACCACAACAGCAGAAGGAATTTGGTGCTGTGAGCGGGCTGGTAGTGCAACTTCAGAGAGGCTACAATTCTGCTAGTAATTCAAGAACAACGGAACAAGAACAACAGAATAATTCACAGCCAGTAGCGCAGCCTGTTCAGGAGCCACACGGACCTGCCCTCACCATGGAAGACTCCGTAGAGCAGTAGACGAAAAGTCAGTATCCTATTGTTAATGAAAAAACAACAATTCGATACAGAGCTAAATTAAACCCAACCCTCCCCGCGTCAAAAATATCATGATAACTTAACGAAAGATGAACAATAATGAGAAAATTCAGTCCTATCGTTCAACCCTCAGACCCAATCCCTCAAGCGTCGCGCCCGTTCCGCACCACGTGTAGAGAACAAACAGAAAAATCTATTGAATCCTCGTCTGAGTTTATAAATATCATCTCAGCAACAAGCCCTCACCTCGTCCATGCCCCTCTGATAATCCGCTCTTGTCGGGACATCAGTCCCAAGAGTGATGTAACAATCAACAAAAAAGATTAACAATTCACAAAAAAAGTGACTAAAAGTTAAGACGTGCAGTATTTACTGTACGCTGCAACAATCCACCACGAACCTGATGCCATTCCGACAGTAACAAGAGCCATCCTCGGCTGGTAAATTCGCTGATTGATTTTTTCAAATAAATTCGAATAAATCACAGCCAATAATTTCTCACGCCGACCGTGGATGGCTGAACTTTCGAAAAATAAATAAAGTAACCAGGGAAATTAGGAGAAATGCGTTAGAAGAGACCGTAAAATGTTTGAGCAAGAAGTTTTTTGAAAAATAGTTAAACCTAATTACACAAATTTTCACACAGAATTATGAAAAATAAAAATAACATTAAATGTGGGAAAATATCTCGAGAGAATGAGGTGAAGATAGAGACAACCTACACACGCAGACAGATAGACAGATGAAATAACACTTACACGAAATAACAAGATTAAAGAACAAAAAAAAAACAAATGAAAAGAGACACAAACGCGCGCACCAAACAATTGAAAAATTTAATAAATAATTTAAAAAACCCACTACCCGCACACTCACTCATCTGACACACCAAAAGATGAACCTGAATACAATTCACCCGTATACTATTATATAATACGACTAAAGGGCAGGTGAAAAAAAAAAATTTCAAATTGAAACACAACGTATTTTTTTCCTCTATCAGTGTAAAACTACCTAATATACTTACCTACTATTAATATTACTTAACTATTAAGAGGTAACATAATTATATAAGAATATAATATATTATATATATACATATATTTTTGATCATTACGAAGTATGCGACGAGTAAAAAACATTGAAAATTGAGAAAAAAAAAATGAAAAAAATGAGCCAAGACTTTTGTTGGCGCGCGATACGGAGAGAAAGAAAGAGAAATAAAAATATAGGCGTTTTCACAAGGCGACAATATATTATCTAAATAAATCTCAGTTCTTTCGGGCCAGCGTTCCATGTAATGAGGGCGTAGAGATGATGAATTTAATTAAACAAAAAGTGAGAATAAGTTTTAGTGGAAAAAAAAAAATAATTGAGTAATCAGAGGAAAATTGTCCCGCTAATACGTAGCTCGATTGAAATTGTTCGGTATACGATTTTTCATTAGGAAATTAGAGCCAGATAAATTGAGAGTGAATTATAATTAGTGACAGATGGTCTATTTTTAATGAACAAGTCGTATAACGTGTGATTTATATGATTTGGCGATGTCGCGCTGTGAAATGAATTCTAAGTGACTAATGAGATAAAAATTGATTAACGAATGAACATTAGATATGGATTAAAAGAAAAAAAATAAATAAATAACTGAGTTACCATACGCACTCTCTATGCGGGTCATTTCTGAAGATAAAATTAAAAGAATGTTTCTATTTAAAATCCGACTTTTTTGATACGAGAAGACAAATTTTCTACCAATAGATGAAGGAAATAGAGATTTTAAAAGCGTAGCAGTTCTCTTATGGACCGTAGGTTCTTCTTACATTGGTCGGAAGACTCGCTGTAGGGCACGTGAAAACGATAATAAATACAGCGGATAATATGCCCGTGAAAAATAATGTCCTAGACTGGCACGATCGATCGCTATGATTCCCAAATCTTTCGGATAACTAGTGGATGAATGAAAAATGCAGTTTCCGGCGCGATTGTCGGACTATTGAGAATGGAAAAAAAAAAAAAAACGAAGTACCTACACGCTATATCAAATTCACCCGATTAAAAATTTAAACAACAATAAATAACCCATAAACCCCCAAAAACCGCCCAATTAAATTATATATAATCCGCAGAGAATAAATTCCCACCCCGTCAACCACGAAAAAAAAAAATTCTTTTGGCATGAATTAGGGACATTTTCGAGTTTGCTGAACAACGGGAGAAGAGATGTAAATTCTTTTGGATGAATAAATAAAGAAAATATTAAAATTAAAAAAAAATCTAAGGAAAACGAAAGTACGAACAAAAATGAAAATAAGTTAGGTATACACGTACACATACACTGCTGATATAAAAATGGTGAAAAGTCTTTGATGTTTCGTTGGACCAAAACAATTTGAGGTGAAAAAATTTTTTACACATCCTGAAAAAAATTAAAACTGAGATGAAAAATTATGAAATATGAAGAAATAAACATATATGCACTCATTCATGACTCTCATACGACTGAAACTCTAGGCTGTACATAAAATAAGGCATGTATATGTTCGGTGTTGAAAAATAAAAATCTCCTTAACGAAAAAAAGTAAAAAAAATTATAATACGAAAAAAACAACATATTAAGCAAGGCTAACTCTATCTCGGTGTTTTGGAACTAAAACCTAAATTTACGTATTTAACGGAAAAAAAAAATGATGAAAAAGTAAAATTAAAATTAAAACAATTCCAAGTTATCGAGTGTAAATGTTAAGGTCTCTTTCTAGGGTTAAAATCAATGAAACTGAAAAATAATGGAATGAAAGCAGACAGCACTATTCATTGTGTATCAACGTGTAATTTAAAAAGTCAAAATCATTCTTCTTACCTTCAGTGACCCTTTAGGACCCCCCTAACCCTGCCCCCCCCCCTTCCCCTTTTACCCAGGACCCCCCTTCGAATGAACGCGAAACGAAAAAGCAAAAAACCAAAAAGAGAATACAGGAGAAATTGTAAAGTCACTCGATGTAAATTTTTTCCGGTACATTAATCAAAATTATTCGTTCTGAATGTTCATTGATCGCGCGAGAAAAAGTAAATATTTCGAGAAAAAAAGGAAAAAAAAAAATGCACTCCCCTAATCTTTCTTCCCCCAGTCCAATGCGACTCGATTCGTTATGCCGATCGACCCTGGAACAGATGAAAAATTCATGAAATTATGAAAATAAAAAAAAACTGAAATTTATCGTTAGATGTGAAATCTATATTATTGTACGGACGATATATTGCTAATTATGATTGTCGTTATTATGATTGCGAATTCATTGCGACGACCGGTGCAGTCTTCATTATAGGTGAGATGATAAAGAAATTTAAAACAGGTATCGGATTATTGACGGTCGACGAATCTGTTCATCTCGTGATGATTTATCTGTTGTTTTGAAATATCAGTGATATTAGTGATGAATATTTGGGTAAAAATTTTGGGTTTGAGATTAAATAAATCATCGGGAGGTAACGCTATCGGTGAAATCGGTTCGGGCGATAAGACATCACTTGACAAACTGGACGAAACAGGCGACGAGGTAAATTATCGTCGGCGATTTAGTCTCGTCGGAGGAAGAACTGTTATATTAGAATTTAATTCCATTGACCAAGGCCGAAACTAAAACTGAAAAAAAAAAAAAAAAACAAAATGTTATACGAGTAATCGATAAGTCCAAGAGATACGATAATCAAGGGATCAAACTTATTACGAGAAAATTTAATTACGATTCATCTAAATTATCTAGTTTTCGTTTACTCGGGGAATTATTTGGGATTGAGTCAAGTGGAGTCTCTTTCACCCTTTCGGTTAATCGCGAACGATGCGCCAACGATCCGGTGTCGATTTAATAAATCGAGAGAAGAAAGAAAAAAAAAATGAAAAATGGGCAGAGTTTTAAGGTTAAAATGAAGATATATTATATTAAAATATCTGTGATGTAAAAAAGTAACAAAATTTTGATGTATATTTTTCACAAACATATTGTAACCTGCTAGTGTATGTAATAAGGATTATCGATATTACATTGTATGATTACGATACGAAATGATGTTTCAAGGGGGAAATACGTGGAAAACAAGGGAGATAATTTTAATGGCGTTTTTAATATCCACAGTTGGTGGTCGGACGGGACTAAGATGGCGGGTAGAGACCGGAAGATCGGATGCGGAGACTCCCGTTTATTTTTTTCACTATTATTTCATTATTACTTTCATGTTGTACCCTGGAATGACTATTGTATTTTGGATTGACGGAAATAGCATCGTGCTGCGATGAAAAAATATTGTTGTTCGTTTGACAGATTTTTTTAGGAATGGAATCGCTAAAAATCGCTTTCGATTAACGACTTTTGAAATGAGGAAGAGTTCAACCGCCGATATCTCAGGATCGGTTGGAGGGAACTCAACGATTTTTTTTTCATCTTAAAGTTCTGTTTTTAAACTTTTAGATGAGATAATGGTCGTTCAATTCTACTCTACCGTTTTTGAGTTATTGGACGTTGAAAATGTTCCATGTTTCATCGTTTTTTAAAGGGCGCAATGATTTCCGGATTATGAATATTATGTTGTTCAAAAAGTATAATGTTTAATCGTCTGGAAAATATCCTCACATACTGATCTTGAAAATAAAAGAATGATTATTCATCGTTTGAGAACTTTTGCTCTTAAATGTGGAATATTTATTTATTTTATTAATATATTATTCTGCAAAATTTCGAAATTCTGAATGTCAGTGAAAGATAATTCTCCGGTAGAACAAAAATCCGAGTATTCATTAGAACTTCTATTTTCTCATGTACCGATGCAATTTCCGCAGGACCCACCACCAAAATTAATCAACAAATTACATTAAAATATGAAAAACGGGAGAATTCGCTCCGATTGGCCCTGAAACGGCTCAATGTCAGCTACCTCACAATACTGTCACGTTTGGAAAGGTTCAAGCAAAGATAACCGTTGTGTCAAAACGGC